CTCAAACCCACGCGTCGTCGTAATCTCCTGTACAAATGCGCAAACAAACAATCACGCACGTACAAACACATGCGCGCGTGAGGACGTTGATGGAAGAGAGAACTGCCAGGCGATTGTTCTCACGCGAGCACCGGGCCAACGTACACACACACACACACACATGCACAGCGATACGAGCAACGCAAAGGACAGCGGCAACCTTGTTCTTGATCATCTGCTCGATGGTGCCGAGATCCATTGGTCGCTTGACAATGTCGTAATACCCGGGCGCCTGGTCTGCCCGCACAGCACGTCGGAACAGATTCGCATCTTTGTGGCCGGCAATCTAAACACGTGCACACACACACACACACACACACACACACACACACACACACACACACACACACACACACACACACACACACACACACACACACACACACACACACACACACACACACAAACACACACAACACAACGCAACACGACACAACACAACGCAACACAGCACAAGCAATGGTGAGGATGCAAACAGGGCAGGAAGAGCACCGTGTGTGTGTAACAGCTGAAATCTGACCGGCACCACCATGCAGCCAGTGTGTTGCGTCATGGTGTTTGTTGTTGCTCACCTGTCGCCAAACGTTCATGATGGCGTGGCGCCACCCCCGCTGCAGACTCTCAACTTCTTCGGCGGCTGGTAAGGACATGGTCGAAATGCAAGCACACATGCACGCATGCGCAGTGAGAGCGAGCCCGAGAGGCCGGGACCTATCACAGCAGGAGGCGCCCAAACACACACATACATACACACATACACATACATACATACACACCCATACACACCCATACACATACACATACGCACACGTACACACACACATACAGAGCATGGCAATACTTACGCAAGTCTTCAATCTCCCACTTTTCCTTGAACTCGTGCGTGACTGGCGTCACAAGCTCCAGCCTGCATGCAACGCAGCAACACCAATGCACAGTCACAATTGCGAACAGGGCACGAAGCATCGGGGGCGTGGCTGCATGCCAGCTCATGCACGCCAACCATCGCAGCACATGCAGCAGCATGCATACAAGCATCCTCAACCTCCAGTGCACGCACGTGTGGCCGAAGATCTGCTTTGGAAGTTCGGGCTTACGGGAGCCGCGCCGCCGCGTGCTCGGGGGCGCTGTTGTCACAGCAGTAATAGGCACGGTGATGGTGGTGGTGGTGGTGGTGGTGGTGGTGGGAAGTGAGACAATGACTACGCCTGTGACACGTACAAGTGAGCATATGTGTGTGTGTGTATGTGTGCGCTCGGACCGAGAGGCTCGTCGTCGTCCAGTTCCTCCACGTTGATCGCCCGCGGCTTAGCTGAAAAAAACCAGCAATCAACATTCCGCACATGAGAAATCGGCCGCAACACACAACACAACACAACACAACACAACACAACACAACACAACACAACACAACACAACACAACACAACACACACACAACAAAACACAACACAACACAACACAACACAACACAACACAACACAACACAACACAACACACACACAACAAAACACAACACAACACAACACAACACAACACAACACAACACAACACAACACACACACACAACACAACATACACACAACACAACATACACCAACAAATGCGCCCCCACTACCCCCCTCCCGGGTGCCCTGTCGAACCAGGTGTGTGCTGGTCGTCGGCCTCCGCGTCCTCGGCTGTGGGCGTCGACACCTGCGCCAGTCGCGTCTTCCGCCGCCCGCCCCGACCACGACGGCCCGCACGCCCACGACGGCTGCGGTTGGATTGTGTGTGTGAGTGAGAGAGTGGGGGAGTGAGAGAGTGAGAGAGCACGTGCGTATGTACATGTGCTTGTATGTTGATGCGTGCGTGAGTGAGTGCAACACGTCGGGAGTACATGCATTGTCAAAACAACAGCTGCAGACAAGGGCATCGCACCTGCGCCTGCCCGTCGTTGGCGTTGCGCGGCCGCTTGCTGACGGCGTCTCAACTGATGACTGCACATGCGATTGGTACGAGCGGTCAGAAACACAAGGCAACCGCAAGCACACGCACACGCACGCAAAAATACCCAAAAGAGAGAAGCGAAGCACACATACACACACGCACACACACGTACACACACACACACACACACGCACGCACACGTACACGCACACGTACACACACACACACACATACACACACGCACGCACATCAACCACGCATCACACGACCAACCAGTGGGCTGCCTGCCTCAGATGGCTCCTCCTTCATCTTTGGGGATTCTGCCCGCGATCCGCGTGGTGTCTTCGGCGAGGCGGCGCGCGCGTCCACAGAGGACCGGCGGGAGGACCGCAGGGAGGACTGTCGCGATGACTCCTCCTCGTGCTTGGAGGAGCGGTCCGATGCAGCGCGATCGCGTGTGGAGCGGCGGAGGGGGCGTGGCGTTCCCGGCGATGGCGGCGGCGACACGTCTTCTGCTTCTTCTTCTTCTTGTCCACTCTCTTTGGTTTCCTCCACTTCACCAACACCCTCTGTTGTTGTCGTTGTCGTTGCTGCTGCTTGTGGTGTTGCTTGTGCTGGTGTGCTCGCTGCCTCCGCCTTTTCCTCTGCCGTTTCCATCGCTTTTTCTTCCTCTCCGTGTCCCTTCTCCTCCTGTTCCGGATGCGGCTGCTGTTGGGGTTCCTCCTTCACCTCCGTGGAAGCACTCTGCTTCTGATGTCCTTCCTCTTGCTTGTGCGCGTCTTCTTTCTGCTGGGCCACCTCCTCCTCACCTTCGCCCCTCTCATCCATCTTCTCATCCTTCGCCTTCTCTGCTGCCGGTCCCTTCACGGCTCCCGGCTCGCCATCCCGCTCCACTTCCATATCCTTCCCCTCCACCCCTGCACCCCCATCTTCCTCCTCTCCTGCTGTGTGCGTAAATGTTTTCCCCTCCAGCGCCGCTTTCCGCGCGGCCGCCTCGCGCTTCTGCTGACCCCGCGCCTGTGCCGTGTTGGGTAAGTGAGTGGAGTGAGTGACATGTGAGTGTGTGAGAGAGTGTGTGAGTGTGTGTGTGAGTGTGTGAGAGAGTGTGTGAGTGTGTGTGTGAGTGTGTGAGTGAGTGTGTGTGTGTGTGAGTGTGTGCGTGAGATACACCGAACACACAGAGAGCAACACCCACATGCGCCACTCAACTGCAGCCATCACTAACGATCAGCCACCATGTCCCCACTCCATCGTACCTGCTGCGCAGTGTCCGCGCCGCCACCACCGCCGCCACCGCCGCTCGCTGCAGCTGTTGTTGGTGTTGGCGGGAACGTGAACTTGGCTGCTGCTGCTGCTGCTGCCCCTGTTGCCTGTTGCCGGGCTGTTGGGGACGAGCGGGTGAGCGGTGTCGATGCCGTGGATCCGCGCGCCGAACTCGACTGCCGCTGCACAGGCGGCGGCGGTGGTGGTGGTGGTGGTGGTGGTGAGGAATGAATATCGTGGTGGGGTGCACGCTCGTGCATCAATTACACACATACACATATGCATGGCAGGCGCGGGGGGGGGGGAGAACCAAGGCTTGACCACTGTGCACAGCGCATGTGTTGCAGCGTTACCAGTGGTGTGGAGCCGGCGGAGATTGAGGTCCTGTGGGAACAGCAAACGCATACGAGATCAGCAGTGCACGCATGTGAGAAGTGAAACAAACATGGAGCTGGGAGCACCAAATGTGCATGCGTGTGTGTATACGTGTATATGTGAATGCATGTATGTGTGAATGCATGTGTGTGTGTGAATGCATGTGCGTGTGTGTGCGTTTGATGAGCTTGAGTGTGTATGTGCGTGTGAATGGAATGACGTACGATCCCTTCGCCGGCGTGGCGAGTGGAGAGCCCGGCTGCGAGCGGCTGGAGCGGTCTGCATCGACACAACGCATTTGGACACGCGGTGAGATGTGCACTTCAGATTGCTGCTGGTTTCTTCCACCCAGCACACGAAGAGGCGGCAACACCACTCATGCGCACATCATGATGACAAATGACGCTAAGTCATCATACAACAACAACAGCAACAACAGCAACAACAGCAACAACAGCAACAACAGCAGCAGCAGTAGCAGCAGCAGCAGCAGCAGCATGGGTGCTCATGTTACATGATCCGCGGCGAGAGCGGTGTGTGCGCGCCAATCGCATCTACAACTTAAACAACAACAACAGCAGCAGCAGCAGCAGCATGGGTGCTCATGTTACATGATCCGCGGCGAGAGCGGTGTGTGCGCGCCAATCGCATCTCCTGCTCGTCGTGTCGCTTCTTCCTGTGGCCGGCAATCACATGCACACAGGCGGGGGTTGTTGGTGCAGAGTGCTGGTGGTGTCAGGCTGTGGTGCGAACACACGCTCGGTACACACGCACGCGAGGGCCGCACAACGATGAGACATGGCACTGTACGCACGACGATGAATGCCACCATCAAAGACCACCACCATCAACGCACAACACCACCACCACCACCATCATTACGGACCATGCCTCGAGGCCTGTGAGGAGCGGTTGCAGCTCGGGCTCTGGAATTGAGTCTGCCCGGATCAGGTCCTTTGTCAGCGCGCTGGTGGTGTGAAGCGCACGTGGATGCAGCGGTGAGAACGCAGCCGGTGCAGCACAGCACAACACACCTCACACTTGGTTGGATCACGTTCGCACACATCCACACACACACACACACACTCACATACACTGGCATACATGCACTTACTCACGTACACGCACACATACACTCACATACACTCACATACATACATGCACTTACTCACGCACGCGCACACGCACACACACAGTGTCTATCTCTCTGTCACACGACGCTACATGCACGGTGTATGTCATAGAGATGTGCGAGGGCTGTGAAGCGACTGTCTCACTTGTATGTCTTCTGGTCGTCCTCAAGCTGCCGCTTCAACTCGTGCGTGCGCTGCTCGCGGAGTTGACGAGCGAGCTTCACCTCCGGCGACTCAATGGCGGCCTCGTTGCGACGCTGGCGCCGTGGGGTGTCCCCCTTTGATGTCACACGCAGTATGAAGCAGATAATGAGGCATGTAGTCGACAAAGCACAAGTCACAGTGGTCGTTCACTCTCTGGGTGGGTGCACATGTCGGGTGTGCGCGTGTCGACAAAGTAATGAGACAGGTGCAGTGGCACATCCGCAACCGTGTATCTCTGTACCTTCTCGATGATGCTGTTGTATTGGGTGGCGCATTGCTGTGAAACAATCACAAATGGTAAGGAGTGGGCGTAAGACACATTGGTGATGCGTCAGGCGAGGCAGAGGGAAACGAACAGCAGTAGCAACGCCGAGAGCAGCGCATGCTCAACGCGGCGGGATGTGACAGTCAACGCATGAGCACAACATAGCTTACCCGAGCGCTGTACCAGTCGTCTGGGTTGTCAAAGCTGGCCGTGTCGCTTCGCATGTGCCGGCTGATCACCGGCTGTCCCCACATAGAGGCAAACAGGTGTAGAGGATGACGGTACGCAAACGAGCCAAGGTAAGCTGCTGCGCACATTGTGTTGTCGAGAGCACACACACACACACACACACACACACACACACACACACAAATGTTCACGCACACACAAATGTTCACGCACACACACACACACACACAAATGTTCACACACGCACGCACACACACACAAATGTTCACACACGCACGCACACACGCACATACACAAATGTTCACACACACACACACAAATGTTCACACACGCACGCACACACGCAAACACACACACACATACACGCAAACAAGCACACATGTTCGCACACACACACACACGCAAATGTTTACCCATGATTGGTTGCCATATTTCTGGACCAAGTCGCACAGCAACAAGCGGTCACGCACAGTCCAGGGCAGCAAAGGCGCCTGCCTTCCTGCTCCTGACATGCTATCGCTGCCAGGCATGGAGAGAGAGAGAGAGAGAGAGGAGAGAGAGAGAGAGAGAGAGAGAGAGAGAGAGAGAGAGAGAGTGTGTGTGTGTGTGTGTGTGTGTGTGTGTGTGTGTGTGTGAACACTTCTTGCTTCTTGTTGTCTCGCTGCTCCGTCGCTCGCTCGTCTCGGTTAATGACGATTTGCGATATCTTCCATAGAAAATCATGGAGGGGAAGGACAACCACGATGCTGATGACGCCGGCCGTGCCGCTGTGGCGCTGCGTCTGAGGCACGACATGCCACACCTGCACGGTGAGCAGCTGTAGTAACCCTGTGACTGCCGTGGTGCCGCCTGCGTGTTCGAGAGGCCTGCCAACACAACATTGACAATTGCTGTGGGTCTCGGTTGTGTTTTGCAGACGCGTGCTACCTGGACCATGTGGGTGCGGCCATGTACACTGCAACCCAAGTCAAGGCATGCTCCGACATCTTGTTGCAGGAGCCGCTCGGCAATCCTCACAGCATTCACCCAAGCAGCACTCGGTCCACGGAGCTGATTGAGGAGACTCGGCAACTCGTTCTCAAGTAAGTGCGTGGTCTGTGAAACTGTGCGCACCTCTGTTTGATCTGCCTCAATGGTGGGAGCAGGCATGTGTTGTCAGAGCCGAACAAATGGCATTGTGGATTGGGGGTGCGGGCGGACACGTGCACATGTGCGCACGCATTGCCTGCATGTGATGACTGCGTGCACACACTTGTGTCGCTTCCCTCAAGTTGCTGACCCTTTTTCCGCGCTCACCGCCACTACACTGCGACAGTTTCTTTGGTGCACGAGCACAGGACTACGACGTCGTGTTCACGGCTTCGGCAACGCATGCGCTTCAGCTGGTGGCGCAGGCCCTTTGCCCGGACCCAGACACGAGTGGGCTTGACTCCATGCTCTTCAGCTATTCCAACCACAGCCACACCTCCGTCACTGGCATGCGCGCCGCGTTCCAGCAGCGCGGTGCCACGTGTCAGCCGTTTTCGCGACAGCAGGTGCAGCCTGCAAGTGGCAATAGTTCTGCTCGCTCATCCTCCTCATCGACATCATCAAAATCAACCTTTCGCCACCACCTGATTGCATACCCGGCCATGTGCAACTACTCTGGAGAGCGCTTCCCTCTCGAGTGGTGTCGCCAGCTCAGATCCAACCACTTGCACATCACCAACGCACCACACGCCATCCCAAACACCATGGTGAGTTCGTGTGTGTGTGGGGGGGGGGGGTGTGGCTGTTTATTCGGGCACATCGTCTCCTGCAGTTCAACGCGACACTCACACACGCACGCACACACACACACACGCACACACACACACGCACACACACACGCACACACACCCTCTCACACACACACACACGCACGTATATGCACACACACACTCACGCACATGCTGGCGCACATCTCATTCTCCACAACCAATGGTGCGCAGGTCCTGCTTGATGCTGCATCGCACGTGTCCACGAGCCCGCTCGATCTCAGCGCACACCAGCCAGACATGGTGTGTGTCTCCTTCTACAAAGTGTTTGGCCTCCCCACGGGTCTTGGCTGCCTCCTTGTTCGCCGTGCCGTCGCCCACGCTCTTCGCCCAACCTACTTTGGTGGCGGGACCGTGCGTGCGTATTCGGTGCTGCCTGATCACCAGCACGTGGCGCTGGCAGACGACGCCCCAGCGCATGTGCGAATGGAGGCCGGCACACAGAACTTCCTCGCCATCGCCCAGCTCAAGGTGCGTGTGCGTGTTGTGTATGGCTGTGTTGTGGTTGTGTGTGTGTGTGCGTATATGTGTGTATGTGTGTGGTGTGTTTGCGTGTGTGTGCGTGTATGTGTGTATGTGCGTGTGTTGGTTGTGCGCGCGTGTGTGTGTGTGTGTGTGTGCTGGTTGTGCGTGTGTGTTTCTTGGAGGTTTCACATTGAATGACCCATCTCTATTCTTCGTCTCTGTATGTGCTCGCTTGTTCCTTGCTGTCCTCAATTGGCTCATCTGACTTTGCCCTTCCCTCTTCCTCTTCGACCGTACGCTGTTTCCCAGGCAAGCATGGCTGCGTTTATGGCCGCTGTGGGCTCGATGCATGTTGTGCGTGCGTACACAGCAGAGCTGGCATCGTACTGTCGGCGGCAGCTGCTTGCCCTCCGGCACTCCAACGAGCAGCCACTCGTCACCATCAACTCCCCCTGGTCCAACGACGATCTCAACGACACACAGGTGCTGTGCTGTGCTGCACCGTGCTGTGTTGTCTTGCCTTGTGTGTGCGTCGTGTGCGTGTGCGCAAAACGTGTAGCTGCTTCAGCGTGTGTTCGCATACTTGCTTAAGCTGGAGATCAACACACATCGTCCAACTCTCACTCTCGCCGCTGTGCATGACCCCCTGTTTCTCTCTCCCCCACCCCTTGGTTTGTATCCATGGCATACTGCGATGATCAGAAGCAAGGCCCTGTCGTCAACTTCAATCTGTGTCGCCACGACGCCTCACTCGTCTCCCCGTCCGAAGTGTGCAATCTTCTTGCCCTCCACAACATCCACGTTCGATCAGGTTTGGATCATGTGGGTTCATGGCGTTTCGTGGACTGGTTACATCACCCACACTGTGCACATGAGAGGATATCACGTGAACCAGCACGAAGCACACATGCGAACAAGAAGAACGGGCGTGCACACTGACAAACACACACACAGACACACACACACTCTCTCTCTTTCCTGACCTCATTGTTTTTTCTTCACCCCATTGTCCCACCCTTCCTTTCCCCACCCCACCCAGGCTGCCTGTGCAACGCCGGCGCGTGCCACGACATTGGCGGGTTCGCACAGCAAGACTACGAACGCATGCTGCAAGCGGGATACGCGTGTGGAACCACAGAGGACATGCTTGTGAGTCAGGGTGTCACGCTGTAGAACAGCACTCACGTGCAACCATGGCTTCACACACATGCACACAAGTGCGCATGCACAATTGCCGCACTTTCCTCTGTCGTGGCCTTGCTCCGTCTTGGCTTTGCTTGTTGCTCTCATTGTTGCTGCTGCTGCTGCTGCTGACATGGCAATGCTTCGGCATATGCGTGTGTGTGTGCTTGCTTCAACAGGATGGCAGGCCCATCGGCGGTGTACGGGTGTCGTTTGGTGCATACTCTGTCAAGCAGGTGCGAAGTCTCAACAACAATGACAACACGTCACAGATGCACACATGTAGACGTGACAATGCACACGCAGAGTTGTGCACAGCGTTGCGCCATGTCCACGCGCTCACATGCATCCACGTGTACTCGTATGCATCCACCATGTCCATAGGATGTTGATCGGCTCGTGCGTGTGATCCGTGAGTACTTTGTGGACGCGACAGACGCATTGATGGCGCCAGCGGAGAAGCGGCAACAGCGACAGCCGCAGCACAACACAACAGCACTCCCTGTTGACGCCGCCACACACACGACAGGCCACAATCTGAAGTATGATGATGCTGATCATGACGACGCAAGGGGCGGTGCCGTTGCCGACAAACAACCACACATTGCACAGCTCACACTGTACCCTATCAAGTCGTGTGCCGGGCAGTCGGTGCAAGCGTGGCCGCTCTCAACAACAGGGCTCGCATATGACCGCACGTGGATGGTGGTGGATGATGCAACCGGCAGAGCGCTGTCGCAGAAGCAGCACGCACACATGTGTCTCATCAAACCCACCGTCGACCTCAGCAGCCACACGCTCACCATCACGGTGCCCACCACCGGTGCTGCAAACGCAGGCCGTGGTGATGGTCACCAAGACTTGGTGTTCACGATCCCCCTGGACCCGCCAGCCGCCACCGACACCGGTGACGTCACGAGCAAGCCGGCGAAGGTGTGTGCCGATGCGGTGCAGGCATTTGACTGCGATCCTGCCGTCTCAGCAGCACTGTCGACGTTCCTGGGGCGCCCGTGCCGCCTGGTACGACAGGCCGGTGCCAGCACACGTGCCTGCCGTGTGGCGAAGGGCGAGTCGACTGCTGTGTTGTCGCTCGCCAACGAAGCGCACTTTCTTGTTGCTTCCCTCTCGAGTACCCGCAAGCTGCTTGCAACCATGCACAAGAGCGAAGAAGGGCAGCGACTGGTAGACCCTCAAGAGCAGCGGCAGCAACGACAGCAACGGCAGCAACGGCAGCAAGGGGAGGAAAAAGAAGAAGAACACGGCAACAAGCATTGTGATGGGGCGGGGACAGATGACGCGATGGTGTGGGTTAGGCGGTTCCGCCCAAACATCGTCATTGATGGCGCTGACGCGTTCGCTGAGGACTTGTGGCGTGTGGTGAATGTGTGCGGTGCGACTGGAACGGCAACAGCAAAACTGGAGTTTGTACGCTGCTGCCGCCGTTGCAACATGGTTTGTGTCGACCAAGCAACCGGCCAGCGCACAGCCGAGCCTCTCGCGACCCTCTCAAAAGTTCGCAAGCGCAAGGTGTGTGTGTGTGTGTGTGGGTGGGTGTGGGGGTGTGGGGGTGTGCGTGGTTGTGGTTGTGTGTGTGTGTGTGTATGTGTCTGTCTGTGTGTGTGTGTGTGGGTGTGGGTGTGTCTGTGTGTGTGGGTGGGTGTGTGGGTGTGTGGGTGTGACAGGTCGCCGAGAACGTACACGTGTGAGACTGACTTGCCAGCGCTGCTTCTCACGTGCTTTACCTTGACGTTGACCTGTTTTGCTGATGTGACCAGGGCGCAACCTATTTTGGTGCGCTATTCAACGTGGTATCCAGCAAGGGCACAGATGAGACAATGCTTGCCGTTGGTCAGTCGCTCTCCCTCGTCCAATCCACCGCAGATGACGTGACTGAGTAGTGTGTGCGTGTCTGCCTGTTTGTCTGTGAGTAAGTCTGCCTGTTTGTCTGTGAGTAAGTGTCTGTGTGTGTGTGTGTGTGTGTGTGTGTGTGTGTGTGTGTGCATGTTTGTGTGTTGTTTGCCACCCTAGGGATCTTTAGAACTGCCCGCTCTGCCACGCCCGTACACCCATAATTTTCTCCTCGCTTCTTGCATCGACATGAAAGCGTGTACACGTTCAACCCATCTGCAAAGATTTTCCCGCCAAAACGATCAACCCAAGAAAGAGACGAGCAAGAGACAAACCCCGTGCCATCTGCTGCCTCACACACACACACGCACACATACACACATACACACACATACACACACATACACACAACTATATCGCTGGGTTCTTGGGGGCGATGGCGTTGCGGCCTTCTGGTACGCGCCTGTGTCTACCCGCCGTCAAGTAAGTCTCCCACGTGGTATCTTGCGTCCCAAGACGTCAAGAAGCCAAGTTGCTGCCCGCTGAGTTCCATGGGATGTTATGTACGCCCTTTGCTTGCCCCGTGTCTCACCGCAATGTACATACATATGTGGTCCGCTCTGATGTTAGGGCATGGCACAGGGTTGAGCCGGCAATGCCGGAACATTACATCGAGCAAGAGTTGGACCGCTATTTCCCGCTGCAAGATCATGTGGGTCGAGAAAGGCCAGAGAGGCGACCAGCCAAGGTCGCCAAGAAGACAGAGCGTCATCGCCCCGCACTGAGACAGAACTCAGCACTCGTGCAGCCAGCGAGGGCAATGCATCCTCACCTTCAAGAACAAGAACAGGGCGGTTCATATCATCACCGTGATGCTTATGCTTGGAGTCAAAGCGATCAAGCCCCGTCCTCTCGGCAGTTGAGCACCACCGTATCCTTTACGGGCAGTCCCACGACGATGCGCGTGCGATCACACCAGCCCCAGCACACGCCGTGTAGCGAATCATCCATCTTCTCGACCCCACATGGCACGCCGTCGTTCCATGACCCGCAGCACCAGGCTGAACAAACACCAATAGCGTCACGCTTTCGTGAAGAGCTGCAGCATGCCCACGATGGAGAGTTGTGGCAGAGTCCAAGCTTCGCATCGTTCGCGCCCAATGCACCTCCAACCACGTCAGCCGCTAAATTGCATGTGCACCAAGACCTGGGTTCATCATTTGTCTCGATGAGCCCAGCGCATGCCGGAAGTGCTACGTCCGCCCACCCCCCTCAGCCTGAGCACCGGAAGCTTGGTGGCAGCACAAGGCAAAGGCAGCCTGGAGCGCAAGAGCAGCAACGGGCGCAACAACACGCAGAGAGTTCACGTTCTTCCACGCTTGCAAAGCAGCAGCAGCACAAGCAGCATCTGCCCGATGTCCTCACTTCACGGGTGAGCGTATTTGACGGTGCTAGTCTTGGCGTTCAGGATCACGAGCACACGCTGTTCCTCGTGATTCAACCACAGAGCAGTGGAGACGAGGAACAAGATGGCATTGTGGTTGAGTTGAGTGTTCGGATGCAGGACCAAAGTCCAAACAACAGTTTCGCGCTTCAAGCGTTTCAGCAGTGCCTGGCCAGCGCTCGGGTCATCTACACGCATGGCGGGCGGCGAATGGCGGCTCTTCTCCTCCAGTGCTGCAGCTCAGCCATCGTGGGGCGTGGTGCAAACGAGTCCATTGCCGTTCGCGACACGCAAGTTGCTGCATGGCTGGCAGACCCAGAACGAGCCTGGGATGACATGGATGACGTGTTTCGGCTGTGTCAGCTACGA